GCAGGTTGCTTTTCTCTCTAAAATCAAAAATTAAATTTGCATGCAGTTCCAGTTAAAAAGTTTGGTCACATGACTGAATTTTGGTGTAATCTTGAAAACCTGCTGATATAACTGTTTAAGTGCTTAAAATGTGCATTGTGGGTGAGTATTAATTGTGTTTAGATATGAATTATGTACTATATGTGAGTTGTCAGTGTGGGATTCTTAAGGAGTGATGAACACGTGTCTGTGCTGAGCCTAAACTGTGTTTGCATGCCTCTTACTGGATTCCTCTTGCTGTCACTTCCAAGATTGTATTTTTATCATAAAGGTCGTTTTCATCATGACTGATATAAACACGAAAGAAGAGTTAACAAGGAATAAATTAAACAGTTAGCGTTAAATTTCAACCCTTCCAGAAACCGGCACGCTACAGACGAGCGATAAGCTATGACAGTAAGGAGTATTACATGCGGCTGCTGTCAGGGAACCCGGGGATGTATCAGCACTCCATAGAGCAGAACACAGAGGGAGAAACCACACAGCAGGAGCCTGAACATGGAGAGGACACCATCGCAAGGGTCAAAGGTCATTTTAACATGATAATGCTCTCTATTACTTGATACAGTGAAACTACTACATAAAACAAATACTATTATTAATACAATGATTTTTTCCCTTCTTCAAAAATGAACTTCTAGTAACTAGAAATTCTACCACCTCTTCAAACTAAATGGACGAAACTGGCTTCTGAATGATCTGATTGTCTATCTATTGAAACTAATGAGAATGTAATATTATGAGCGTGTTGTATGGATTGACTCTGTGCTGTGTTGTGTTTTAGGTCTGGTTAAGGCCCCTTTAAAGCGGTCCCGCTCTACAGCGGATGGAGCTGATGAGGACAGTCAAGACCAGCTGCAGGAGTTGCTGGAGTCAGGAGCTATGGACGAGGAGCATAAAACTGACAACACCACGCTGCTCCGCCTGCTGGAGGAGGGAGAGAAGGTCTGCAGCACACCACAGCCACATCCTCGTCACACTGTTTAACAACTGCAGCTTCTTTTACTGCCAGGCACTGTTGTCAACGCAATAATGTGGCTTTGGAAATTAGGGTGAAAGCTTTCTAATCTGAAGCTTTGTATTGATCATTACTGTTCTAACAGCAGTCAGTCATTTACTGCTCACATTATCCTCGATCAGTATGAGGGAAATAATTAGTAATATCTGTCTGGTTGGATGTTTAGGTTTATTTTGCTTTTTGAATTTGAACTGATTGATATAAAGTGTACTGAGAATGTGTTTGCTGTGTGTGTTGGGATAGATCCAGCACATGTATCGCTGTGCTCGAGTTCAAGGTCTGGACACCAGTGAAGGGCTGCTCTTATTTGGGAAAGAACATTTCTATGTGATTGACGGCTTCACAATGACAGCCACCAGAGAGATTAGAGACATTGAGACACTCCCTGCAAAGTAAGAATTTATATTTTGGATTCTGCCCTTCAAAAAAAAAAAATTAGAAAGACTCACTTCTGGCAGATCATCTGGTATCTGTCTGTCCCTCTGCCGTTTGTTCTGTCATTCTGTTGTTCTCCATCTATTTATCGTTCATACATTCTATCTACCATTTAGCTATTCTATCTATCTATCTTTCTATCTTTTGTTTGATCTGTCTATCATTCTATTGTTCATTCTATTATTCTTTTTCTATTTCTTAGAATTTCTCATTCTTATAATTGTGACAAATCTGGTAAATGTTTTTCATTAAAAGAAACTGGAAGTATTGATATTTCCCATTAATTAACCTACAATTCATTGAGTGAATGCATTCTGTGGTTATTTTTAGATTATTTTAATATATTGATGATAATTGGCTTAATAATGTAAGTCATTTTGCTGAGCCCCCCTGGTTGAGAACCACTGTTTTAGTGGTTGCATTGGGTCTATACGCTGCTTGTTTTTGTGACATTTGCAGTATGCATGAGCCTATCATCCCCCGAGGGGCCCGGCAGAGCAAGAGTCAGCTGAAACGAACCTGTAGCATCTTTGCTTACGAAGACATCAGAGAGGTGCACAAACGTCGCTACTTGCTTCAGGTGTGCAAACAAACCATTTGGCTTGATTCTTTGCTTGAACCCAAATAACACACTGGGCAGCTTTCATGTTAATGGCAATAATGAAGTTATGCTTTGCTGTCTTCATCACAGCCCATGGCAGTAGAAGTTTTTTCTGGAGATGGAAGAAATTATCTGTTGGCTTTCCAAAAAGGAGTCCGGAACAAAGTGTATCAAAGGTATTGTAAACACTGATGCCTTTTAAGGCAGCATCCCACTAGCTGGCACAAAACAGCTCTGTTTCGGTTGTGGATGTCACACTTTCTGACAATTTTAGATGAAATCTTGTACGCTTCTGTCAAATGTTGTCACACTCAGCAATTAAGAATTTAAAAAGGTGACAATCTAAATGAATTCCTCTGACATTTTCTCAGATTTTGTCATGCACTGCAGCTCCCCATTTTGGCAGCAAATCATTGTGCAATTTGACTATATTAGAGCAGGTGTACCACACATTCATACGCAACTGTAATAGACTGCATTAAGATGCAGCTCATGGAGTAAATTTACCCGTTATGTGTGTTTGAAGTCTCATATGCTTCTTAAATGCTGTAAAAACTTTAACACTGTGAAATATTTTTACAATTTAAAACACCTTTTTTCAGTTTTAAAGGGTTAGTTCACCCAAAAATGAAAATTGGCTTGTGTTT